TATCTGTCTTCAAAAGCTGGAAAGGAACAGTAGGAATAGTGTCTGCTCTTGTCATTGATGCTATCTGATAATCAGGATTGAGGATGTGTTATGGTATTTGTTGTATACAAGATGACATGTGGCTAGTTTCTGTTTTGTGCCTTATAACCTATTGTCTGTAAAAAAACCCCCAAAAACAAACAACCAAACAAACCCACAAAAACTGATTGTGAATTGAAAGAATCTGCATATTTTGGAAGTGGACTGAATATTATCCTAACAGGGCTTGCAAGGTCCAGTCTTTTCTTTTTTTTTTTTTACCTATCTCACTTCATATTGGGATCCCTCAAACTGGTGTTTCAGCGGAGCATTTCCTATAGATCGTCTGCAAAATGGTCTTATGGGAAAGAAAACACTACTGAGTAAAGGGAACAAATGCGGGTGAAAAATTCTAGTTGTTAGATGTTTCTCAGAACAATTCTGCCAGAAGGAAATTAAGAAATTTTACTTTTCGTATTTTGGAAGCACATCCTAAAGCTAAGCCCACCAAAATTCCTCCATTTCTTCTAGAAGTAAGTACCCGTGGTTCAAAACATACTGTGATTAAGTTGTGATTTGGAAAACCATGGCTTTTCAGTATTTCCTATTGTCATATTTTTTCTAGAAATAGGACCTCGGTGAGGAAAGTAGTAGTTCATACAAATCTCTAGTCTTTTTACTGAGAATGTAAAAATATGCAGCAATTAGTACCATTTTTACTTGTATCTCTCTTCTTTCTCCCACAATAGACAACTATTCATCATGTAATAAATGCATACAATGCATTCACTTCACTTATGTCTCTCTCTGGGATTTCCACCTAAATTTGTACTGTTTATAGCAAACAACCAATCTTGAAAAAGAGAAAAAAAGAGTGAAAATGTCAGCAGCTTGTATTGAATTTTTTTTAACATCTAGACAAAAGAAAGAGAAATAGATTGAATCTCAGCTGACAACCAGACGTATAAAACACATGCATTTTCAAAGACCATCTCACTGAAGAGCTATTGCCTGCTTATTCAGAAGTAATCCCATTCTCTGCAGTTGGCAGTGGATGAATCTACATTCTCACTAGCCTCAGAAAAAGTAAGCTCTGCTTCTTAATGTTTCTTCCTGTCTCTTCTGAATTCAACAGTATGGGACATATTATTAAATGACACCTAACAAAGACGACAAACATTTTTAAAAGTTTGACAAACTTGTTAGTTGCTGTGATGCATTTTCTACCACTGCATATATTGAAGATCAGATGTTATTACTAAAGCTACATACAATTATCTTTAGGTACAAACAAAAATTAATTCAAAGTATTTCTACTGTACAAGACAGTTACAAAATAATTATGGTGTCTCTTGGCCGTATAATACTACTACAGGTCTTAGAAGATTCTGCAATGGCTGTGTCTTACAAAATGAGTTTTTGAATTTTAGTGTTCAGACTGATGACTAATTACAATCTGCAGGCAGTATTATCTGGAATATACCAAGGGCTAAACTTTTACATGCAGATAGTTACTATGAATCAGCTGCCATGAAAGAGCTGGGTGGATGGTTAGTAACTGGATTATCAATGTGGTCATCTAGAGAGAAAGAGAACATTTTGTTGAGGGGATAATTGCGTGTCATTATTAGTAAGAACAAAATGCCAAATATGGAGAACAAATGTGGATAATTAAAAGTTGTTGGCATTTTAAATATTTTTTTTTTTAAATATTATACATACTTTGCCACTAAGTGGGATGAACATAATATGAGCTGGCTTTTAGGTTGTCCTTTTTGCAGTACCCAGGTTTTTGTACCTTTTGACCTGTCTGGTCTTTCTAGGTCTGAATCTTCCAAAAACATCTGCATGAAGTTAATTTGATGCATTGTCAGTAGTCTTCACTTTGGTAGAGTTTTACCAGAACTGCTGCCTCCGATGGTAAAGTCTTCCAGGCATTCTGGCTATTCTTGTTATTTGAGTTCTTTTTTATTTTAAGTCTACATGAGTATGAATGCTACATAACATGAAGAGGAAAGAAAATCCAGACAATTCTCTGTCTTACTCGGGTTGAATAAGGACACAGAACCCCAGAAGTGTGGAACTAACACTTGTGGGGAGAAGCATCCTGTGCCCCTACAGGCTAACACTCAGTGTTCAGCAACGTTAAAAGATGTTTCAGCCTTCCCTAAGGATTTTATTTTCACCTCTAAGAGACAAAGGAAGACAACCTGTATCTCAAATGCAACTCTGTATCCTAGCACAAAAATCATAACATTCAATTCAGATGCTCTTATCTGAATAGATCATACTCAATGAATTTCTGCTCCTGATTGCAACCATTAGAGACTTGAATTAAAGAGGTTACTGTAGCTACAGTGCCAAATTACGCCCCTGTCTTGCACAGGGAGTAAAGGGGCATAGATTTTTCTTCTTTGCTATGCACTTTGCATAAAAAGAAAGATAAATGGAATTTCCTTTACCAAGGAACTACAGGAGCTCTTTTCTCCCTGCCTTCAAGATGCAAACTACAACAGCAAGATGTGGGGTCTGCGACTCTCTGTAGCTGGCTGCTTTCTGAGAGAGGGGAAACAATGCACCATTTTAAGAAACACTTTCCCTTGCGGGATCTCTCATGGGAAGGCTGCAGCCCTGTGTGTACATGCAGAGCTCAACAAACTGTGGCAATCTCAAGCTCTTAGGCTGCCACACTTCATGTTCCCTTCCCCCACCAAAAGAGTTAACAATGGAAAAGCACCAAGAAGTCGTTAGCTTAGGCACAGCAAAATGAAAAAGCATAATTAGCCCCTACAGGCAGTATAATGAAAATGTGGAAACAAATCTCTGTCACAGAAGGGAGATGAAGGAAAGGCTGGTGTGCAGGACCAAATCATCTGTAGGCAACATAAAGTACTTTAGATTAGTGTTTTGACTAACTCTGCCTGTATGAAGCATTAGGGGCACCCATGTGTTAGTTTAAGTGAGGCTGAGTCAGCATTTCTTTTGCAAACATTTACTGTAATTTAAAAGCCTGGTAGTTGCAGCTGTCAGTCTGGGTTAAAAATTTAGATACAGTCTTGGCACAAGAGCTCATCCTCTGAACAAGTGAACTGCCCCATTACCGTGGGACTAGGAGGAGCATCTCTCTGACTTTGTAACAAGGAGAGGGATGTTGGCTTGGGCATCTCCTCAGAGCATGGCACTCTAACCTCTGTCTGAAGCCCTCCTTTGAGGTGGACGAAGTACAACAGTCAAAGGCAAAAGTTGCATAGAGGTGGGGACCAATTTTCATATTTTCTATCCTTATCATTACAAATTTGCAAAAAATAATTCAAGTATGTTACAGGCAAACTTCTGGGAAGTTCTAGGAAGAGGCTAAGACTATTTGCTTAGATTAGACTTCCAGAGAGGAATGCAGTTTAGTGACAAAGTCACATACAATGGTTATACAGGGGTAGTGTGGATTTACGCGGTGGCCACCAATCTGCTCATCTGGAAACAAACTCAAAACCAAACCATAAACATAGTGCTTCTTCCTCGTTAGGCATCCCCAATTACCTTCAAATTGCCAGCTAAATTCTTAAGATCATGACAAGAACTACAAATGTAAGATTTATTATTTTGTGGCAATTACTATTAATATAATTGCTATCATTTTCTTTTATTTGTTTCCTCGATTTTTATACTTTCAAGTCTGCTTCTCAGCCACAATGGCATGCAACTTATTTTTTAATCTTAAAGTGGAGATTTTCAGGTAATCACTTCATTACAGGAGTGGAGACCTCAAAAAACTAACCTAATAGGACAAGTTACAAAGTGGAGTAATGAAAGTAATAGAAGTTACTGAATTTGACAATGAATTTGGACATTTCAAAGCATGAAAACCAAAAGTACAATTTGACCAGCATTTAACTTATTTTTCGATAGTTTTCAGTTGCTACAAAGTAGACATGGCAAGCAATTACTTCAAAATATATTCAAACAAACCAAAGCTACTTTGTGCTGTAGAAACTGAGACATATCTCAATCCTGCTTACACTGATTTGTTGAGTTTAATTCACACTTCAGAACTTGAAGAAGTTTTTTGATCTGCACTTAACAAAAAAATGGGAAGCTACTGATAATTACATGGTAGAATTAACCATTAAATGGCTATATTGCATGGGATCTTTTGTCTGAAGTTTATGTTCTTGGTAGCATGAAGCATGAAGACACATAAAGAATATACAGTTCTGAAGAAAAACAATGAGTGAGAATGTTAGGAAACTTAGGAAAGTTTTAAAGACAGAAGCTAAAAGGAAAACAATGCATGAAAAGTTAACTTCAGGCTCAAAAGTAAAATACAGATACTTACCTTTAATATATATGTATGAAAGAATGGTACCTTTGTTTTTAAGAGCACATCACATTTAAAAATAAGTTTTTAGAAAGATGAGTTAATCATTTTAATATATTGATCGTATAACTGTTTAAGGGGCTATGAGACTGTGAAGACAATAGCTGTAATACGCAAATCAGTGTAGTGGTCTATAATTAGGCTAAGAATGTGATATTTTTCTATTTTATGAATTTGATTTTATTTCTGTTATTGAAGTATCACAAAATTTTATGTTAAATTTATGTTAAAAGAAACTGCCAATTATTTGTTCAGGGGCTTAGACAAGTGGTATAGACAATATTTGAAGTGGTTTCTGACTGAAAGATCAGTGAAAAAAACCCAACAAACAAACCAGCTACCTTTCAATGCAACATTTAACACCTACATGCCTTTTAGTATAAATTCTGGTTAGTCAATAGAAGCAAAACATACTTCTTAATATTTTTTAAGAAGGGAGATATCCACAACTGCTGACTTTATTGACTAACTACTATTTCTAAGCTTAGGTATAGTAAATAACCGTAATGTTGAAAGAGGATGTTTATGCTCAACATAATCTCATAAATTCTATTGTACAGTAGTTGAATATATAAATATTCATGGAAATATACATATTCCTACTTACCCAACGGACAGGAAAGGCTCCTTTGATTCAAGTCTGTCAAGTAAATAACAGAAATTTTAAATATATATATTTATTGCATTTCAGAACATTTATACGATGAATTTGAAACAGCCAGTGTCAGTATCAAATTTACTTCATGACCAATACACAATTTAACAATAGAAGGGCCTGATACATTATGTTAGGAGCTTAACTCGAAAAAAGTCCCATTTACCTAACTGAACTTGGTTTAGAAAACAAATATGTACAAGGCCGCAGATCTAAACCCTTTAAATATCACAGATTCAGATGACTTGGGTAGGTATTTACGTGGAAAAGCTGGAGTGAAAAAGTAATACTTTGTCCTTTTTTTGCATTTTTCATGTAAAATATTTTTCTCTTGATGACCGTGATTTAGGGAAGATATTGAATTTTTTTTTTTCTTTAACTTTAAACATAACGTTTAGTATGGGTGGAAGAACTTTCCTGATTTGAGGGCTTTCACACCCATTTTGTTTGCTTTCCAACATCCTCTCTTCATATGACAGGGTCACTTCTGTGTTGTGAGAACTTCTGACACAAACTGCCACAATCAACCTTGCGCTGGAGCTGGGTGTCGCTGGTTTGGTAGACCCAGAATCATACCCAGTTCTAAAACCAGTTGTTAACGGTGTTCTCCAATTCCCTGCTGTTGCTGCTGTCTCTGTGAGGAACCGCATCACTTGCACATTGGCAGGAACCTCTTCTACTAGTAGTTTAAACCCAACCAGGATAGATTTCAAAATTCTCATCTATGTTATTGTACTGTATTTCTGCTCTGGTACCTGCAACTGGCTGCCCTGGAGCATAAGCGTGTAACTTTAGGGTTCTTTATAAACATATTTAAAGCAAATTTACAACTCAATTATTTTGAGAGGTTACATGACATGCAAATGATACAAATGTTCTCTCTTGTGCTAACTTTCACCAAGTGCACTGTGCTAGGAAAAACAGCAAACAAAAACCCCAGGTACCTAATGTCTCTTAGCATTTAAGAAAAGTGTTTCTAACAAAGTAAAGTATGTCACATCTGGAACTGAACATTTAATTTGTGATGACCCCTTCCATCTGAAACTAATTCAGTTCCACAAAAAAAAAAAAATATCTGACATAGAACTGTAAACAGGACTAATTGTAAACAACAGTACTGTAAATAATTTGTCAATATTTTAAGAACGAATCTTTCCTGCAAGTCTTCTTTGTAGAAAAACCATCAAGTACATTTGCAGCTATTATTCATTTAGCAAAGGTTTTGGCCAAAAAAAAACAAAAAGCAGTAGTCCAGTTATTACCTATCCAGAAAGGTATTTACAAAAGGTGGACTTGTCACTCTGTTTTTGAAAGGATTATATGATTTGGCTTTAATTGAAAAATGCTGTATGTTATCTTTTTGCAAAGCATTTACTACTTCTTTTCCAGAATCACTAGTGGACATAACTTAGGAGCCTGTCTTCATTTACAGCGTTGTCTTCCGATGTACTTTAAACCTAATCTCCTGGGGTTAGGTTTCCAGCTGTGGAAGGACAACTTGCATAAGGCTTGAGGAAATGCCAAAATGTATCCAAAACATAGTAACTTTTCTGGTGTCCTCATGACTATACCTGACCTTTCCATTTCTTTCTGGGTTTGTGGTCCACATGGAAGTAAAAGATTAGAAGACGGGACCACTGATGGACTTGCATGTACTTGGAAGCACGGTGGAAGCTCAAGGCTAGGTATCACTGCACTCAGGAGAACAATTCTCCAGGGCAGTCTCAGTACTGTCACGAGTGCTCTCCCTCCCAGATTGCCGTGCTGCACACCAGAATCTTCACAGCACTGAGAAAATGCCTAGCTTGGCATCCTCTGTGCTGAGGTCTTCCTCCCAGAGAGCAATAAATTAGTGGGTCTTTCATGTGCAGAGTTGCATCCTTCTCCAGCAGGCTTTGTGCAGCCACCATGCCAGCTTCATGGACCAGCTTCTCCTACTGTGGATCACACAGTTACAGGAAAACATCTACACCATCTTTGCAGCTTCTCTCTGGGCTATGAGGAAAAGCCCAGCTAGTGTTGCGGTTCTGTTTCTTGTTTTTCTGCTTAATGAAATGAACCAGACCTGGGAAGTACCCAGTGTTTGGCTCAAGAGATTAACTATAAGCAAAACGAGCAAAGAATGAAAGCCTCGGAACATATTTACATACTTCATAATACAGAAAGTTTGTAATGAAGAGAGACCTGGCACTATCCTGACGGAGGACATTCTCATGGATTTTACTTGCAAACAAAAAGCGTGCGGTAGAATGCCCGGTGGACAAAATACTGCAATTAAAAATCTATTTGAAATCCATTATCAAGATGGAATTCAATTTGATTTAAATAGTGCTGCCCTAGGTTTGACCCCTCTCTAGTATATTTGACTAAATGGTTTTGGATAATTTGCTGCATTACTTTAAATTAGTTCAAGTGTTCCTCATAGTAAAGGAATACAATTATCTGTTGGCCTTTTATTTAAATTGGTAATTCAGTATATAGCAAATTAATATAAAGGGTTTTAAACTACAACACCATGTAAAATAACATCCTATATCATCTTTATTGGTGCACATTTATTAATATAAGTTATAGATTTTTTACCTTTTTTTTTGACTAGCCTGCAGTACGCTAAGTTCTCCAGAGTTTTGAGGAAGTTTTGCATAATTAAATATGATATGTCAAAAACCGTAATCCTGATAAGCTGTGAGCAGGGCTGTCATACACCTTCAGGAAAAATGTTAAAACAAGTTTTCTTTCTTGCAAAAATGTATTGAGCATGCAAGAAACAGTAGGTTGGACAGTAAACAAAGGGAATAATGTTTTGATTAGGTAGGAATGGTAACGAAGCTGGAGTGATCAGGGTTTTTCTTTCTTTCCCGAAATGGTTTTCCCATCAGAAAATTTCAGTTTGTCAAAATGTCAAGGCAATATATCAGTTTGAATAAGAGGGAGGCAGGCTAATCTGTAGCATGACTGGGACATGGCAGACTGAGGTTGTATTTCCCTTTGATTTTCTGAAAGGTCTGACTTTTTTATCTACATATAATGGATAAGTTTTTGCAGGAGGAAAAAGGTTTTTTACACTAGGCAAATTGGCCAATTAAAATCAGTCACTCTGAACCAAACAGGCATAGGCAATCAATTTATACCCTTTGATATACTACAGTACTGTCAGTCTGTGCATAAAATAGGGATCCTAGAAATTTCCCATTTAGTATTTTACCCCTTGCAGCCTGTCTTGGAGGGATATTTTACAAGATCTGATTAACATATTTCATGGTTTTCTATGCTGCTCAGTTTGCTTGTTTTAATGCCAATTATCTAAATCCTATCTTTGACATGGACTGAACATGTAGATGGACAAATTTTTCAAGGTTTGCAGACAAACATACGAGGAAATATGACTAGACTAAGGGCAAGTGAATTCCTCTTTGACTTGTAAACAAATTATTAAGGACAGGAAGATCCCAAAGTAAACTCCACTTTCTTTGCATAATTGCCCTATTAAATTACAGGCAAGATGGCTTTTTATATCTGAAGCCTGACCCAAGATACATAAGTCAATATCATTTATTGTGAAAGAATTCTCCTCTCTCTTTCCCAAAACCTATTTACAGGACAAAGTGGATAACGTTTCTAACAATACCTGCACTTTTCACAAGCAAATGGATTTTAGCCAAGCATTCTCCAAGGTAACTCATTATGGATCAATATGTTCTTCCTCGTTGTGATCATATAATTTCATCTCTAAGGAGTTAGTAAGAAAAACACATAGGATTTAAGGCATTTGTTAGGGTTCTTATTCTGACTTTTTAATATAATAAAACTGTCTACTCTGAATCAGGGAAATTGATGGTCAGGAACCAAAACTTTTTCGGATGAGTCATTATTTTGAGTTACGGTCTTCAAATCAGAATTCCCAAGGAGGATAACCTGAGTGTGCTGCTGACATCACACATCTTCTCTTTGACTGTACAACTCATGAACAGAGACTGCAGTTTTGGGGGACACTGAAAGAGTTAACGCCTCTAACAGGAGTCCAGATTCAAGCTCTTCATTCAAGCCATGTGGGAAAGTCAGGTCAACTAAAAAGCATTTTGGATGATTTGGATCTTGATGAATTGGTTGCATAGTTTTAATGTATATTTTGTATGATTGATGTGGCTGACTTATTTACTTGTCAAGCATGTCTATCTCTTTACTCTGTGCAGCTTTAGGAACCAAAGATTTAGCAAAAATATGTGAAATTAAAAATTATTCAGATTTCTGGCTCACCCTGTTTGCTGATGAACCTAATTTTAAAATTTTAACCAAGAAGAACTCAAGGGACCTTTCAAAAGAAACTGAGGTAATTTGCCGTTGACAGTGATCAGCCAGGGTTGCATTTTTCTTTGCATGCTGAAGTTATGATTTGAAGTCAACAGTCATTAATGATCAGAAAATATCTTCAGAATTTTTTAAGCAGTGTTGCTCATATTTCATCCTCTGATTCCTTTCCTTTTTAAACATGCATTATAACTTTTGGTAACTCCCAATATTTCTATACAATACAAGCAGGCATGTCTTAATTTACAGAAGAAATATTGTTCCGTGTAGCTTCCACGATCTATTGAGACTGAAATAGACATTGCTGGTGTACATTAGGTAATCCTTCCTTCCTTTCTTCCTTCTTTCCTTCCCTCCTTGTCATTTATAATAGTTTTCATCACTTAAAGTAATTTCAATCAAAGATAATTTTTCTGGACATGAGTACCTGTTGTCAGATGGAATTAGGACAGAAACTTATTCTGTCTTCTGAAACTTCCATAAATATCATTATAAATGTTGGCAAGTTTTATTAAGAAGCACTGTCATATTCTGGAATAAATAAATGTTAGACCAGCTGTACAGAAGATCTAATCTGTCAGAAGTGTTTCGGGAGCAGAGGGTATGGAGGAATAATTTACAGCTTTATGTCAACTTTTACGGTTGTTCTTAATAAATTTCATAAGTTCCAGTTCTAA